CCCCAAAACCCCAAAACCCCAACACCAAAGCTAGCTAAATGAATTGCCTGTATTTAATTGATTTGATTAAAATAATTATATCTAAAATGAATAAACCTTAGAGGAAAGTTTCAATTGACTTAAATATCCGATCTGCAACTCTCAAGGTAGAGGAGCCTATGGAAATTCTTATCGTCTGGAAAAGAGGTAATCAATATATTCAAGTATTCATTCAAATATAGGAACTAAAAAGATTGACACTAGATCAAGAATAATAGACTAAAGCAGGCCTTAAGCAGTATTTAATGAGAAATTCCAGATGAAGACTGCTTTAGACTACGATACTCTAAGAAGAACATTCATTAAAAAAAAGGTAGAGAATTGAATATTAATTGTAGTTCTGTTTTAGTCTGATTTACAAGTATGGAAAAAGGACATGTCAGTTATGCTTGGCTCTGCAGATTTTGATTTAAGCAAATATGCTAATGATGAACGTGCATAAGACGACAGACTGCCTCTTAAAAATTGCACTATTGATTCATCTGCATACATTGAAATCTACATAAAAGCTAAGGTGTTAGATGCAGTACCTCAAACCCCAAGCATGAAGACAACAGGCATGTAATTAACTTCAATGCCAACAATCGAGGAAAGAGATTCTGAGGCTGATGTGAGGGAAGAACTTGAGAGAAAAGAAAAAGAGTACAGAAGAAATATTGAGAGATTGGAGGACATGCTGGATGATTTGAGAAGAAAGGGAGAGGAGCAAGCAAGTTAATAAGAGATGATGAATTAAACAGTAATTGGCTACGAGCCAGGAGATATTCTTGAGATGAGAGAAAAGGAAATGCTGCAGTTAGAATAAGAGCTCATGGAGTTAGATCAGTAGAATCAGAATTTTTAAGTCAAAAGGTAATCATAATACTATGCTTATATATTTTTTCAGTGAAATTCTTCGATCAATCGATCAAGCTTATGGTTTAGAAAGTAATGATGTCAATTATACAGTAGAATAAGTACAAAAATACTTGGAGAAATATCAAGAGATGTCAAAGCAAGCCTAGAATGACCTATTTAAAAACCAAGATATACTTGAGCATTTGTATTCATTTGATAGGTTTGATTACTAAACGTTGTGACTTAACTAACTTCTACTTTCACATCAGAAATTATAGTTATTATTTGTTAATTTATTTGCAAATTTATTAAATAGTTAATAAAATAATTAAACTTAAAAAATTAATGGAGACTCAGAAAGAGATCATTTAGGCTCAAGAGAGGATCATTACGACTCTTTCATAAAACTTAGAGGAAATGCAGATTTAAAACTTTGATAGTGAAAGGGAAATCTAGGATATATAGATATGGATTAAGGATCGAGTAAAGTTACTAAAAAAAACAAAGGAAAATTTTGATTATATTTACAAATCTTTGAGGTAACTTAAGAAGTTAAAGAGTAATCAAGATTTGTCCTCAAGCTTAATCATTAATGAATAAGATTAGGATAGAAACATCGAATGAGCCAAAATTTTATGAAGAGAGATATTGTTAATATATCAAGAATTTTCAAGGAATATTACTGTATAATAAATAAGCCTCTCAAGGCTAATGTTATGAATGATTAGTGCTTTGATGATGATTTATTACTTTGACTTCTAATTATTTTGATTTCATTTATTTACTCTAAGTTTACATTTGATATAATTAAAAGTTTCGATCAAGGGGTTTTGGGGTTTTGGGGTTTTGGGG